GCTCTCCTCAGACTCAAATTTGTAGGTGGGGCAGTCCCTATAAAATACATTATGGGGGCCGCCACAGTTGGCACATGTTCGTGATTGTGCAGAGCAGTTTGATCGAATATGGTCAGGTTGGGCACATAGAGGGCATCTGGCTGTAGAACGGCAATGTTTGGCAGGATGTCCTAAACGCCAACAATTTTGTCACTGACGGGGAGGACGTTGATATGGTCGGACAAGGATGGATTCTCCACCGATGTAAATATTAAAGGGAAGGTCTTCTCTACGGAAAGTAATTTTGGCAATGTTAGTGGGAGGAATGGAGTAGCACTGTACTGATATCACATCATAGTCCGTACGGGCGAGTAAATCTTTTCCACAATCTGACCAATTTTTGTTATAGATTGGGCAATTTGCTAAGGAGATAGAAACAGTTCCGGTGCAAGTATTAAGGGTTGGATGGGGTTCTGCAAGGATGGGGTTACCATATAGATCAGTTAGATTTGATAATGCTATAGCTCGGTTTTCTGATGTTACTGTGGCGAAACGGGAACGGTCGGATAGGCTACGGAAAGAGACTTTGCCTACTTGTTTTAGGAGACATTACTGGAAGAGAAGAGTGTTGTCAGAATAAGGAGCTTTGGGGGGATCACGAAAAATCTGTCCCATTTGGCTGGGCTAAATAGAGTATTTAAGATTTTTGTAGTAATGGGGTTAGTAGAAGCACAGGTGTGTGTGAAAGAGGAAGTAGTATTGAGGGAGGTAGTTTATGGAGAGGTGGACAATAAGACTGTAAAGTAGTAATAAGGATGGGGTAGTTGATGAAGAAGGTTGTGGGGGTAGAGGTGATGAAGTTGAGCAAGTTGGGAGAGTAGAAATGTCTCCTGGGAGTTGAGTGTTGACTAGGGTGGATAATATACTAGTAGGCATTGAAGAGGGGTTAGTAGTTGTAATGTTCGGAGCCGTAGTCAAAGGAGAGCCTGGAGTCAGGGAATCGGGAAAGTATGAATTGGTGGGGCTATTTGATGAAGGGGCAAGCCTCATTGCCCCTAATAATGGTATAACGTCTTCATTGTTGGCCATGGTAAGCCTGGAGTATGTTGGGGAGAGAAACAGTCCACTCCTCAGGGTCCCCTTGAGGGGTAAGGGCTAGGCAACTAAATCAGGGGAATACCGTGCCCATGGCTCCCTCAGGCCGTTCAGGACTGGCACAAAGTCAACTTTTCATCCTTTCAACACGGCTCACACCTTAGGAAGTGAATAGTAGAAGGGGTTGGGGAAGGGACAGAAATGAAAAAGTTGGAGGGGGAAAAGACCATGCAAAATTAGATGAGTCGAGGGCTGAATCCCAAGGCTGGGGAGTTCCCCAGCATTGTATCCCAGTCCCCGCCTCCTAAGCCCCCCCCCCCCCCACAACAACAACGGGCAAGGGATAGGGGGGGGTGAATCAGATAATTAATGAATTAATTAGCCAAGCATTCACTCGCTTCACGTATCAAATTCGTTATTTTAGGCAGAGGCTAAACAAAAAAAAGAGAATGAATAGCCATCCACTTTGGTCTTTTCTCTAAGGTAAGGTTTCATTAGTTCAGTGATGGCAAGCAGTAGATAATCTAAAAGGTTGTAGGGTTAATGGCCAATGCTTTAAAACAGATAAATGTGCTAGACAACAAAGTCTATACAGCACTCTGATAAAGTATTATGGTGGAAGGAGTTTTTTATTAGAACAAAATGTCTAAATTTCAGTAGCCATGGTATTATAAGATAGTATGGCAGTTGAGGAACGGAAAGAGGAAGTGAATGGGGTAGGATAGGGATAAATAAGAAGGGGAAAGGGTTTAGGATAAAATGTGATTAGATTAGATGGAGGATATTTATGCGCCTTAGGAAGGAGAATACGTTGTCACTTGAAAAGGTAGGGGATTCCATAAGGATGGCCGACAGGTTGAGGGTCGGGGAAGAGAGGACAAGTAAGGAAAAACGAAGGTACGGGCCTCAGTAAAGTGAGGGCAGGATTGTAGGATAAGTGGGACTGAGAAAGGAACATTGCATGAGGAGCATAGAGGTGGGTTGGAACATGACATGAGGTATGAATGTGTGAGGCGGGTGTGACATTCGTAAACGAGCAAGGGCAGTTTCCATGGTTATAGGGTTTACAGTTTATTGGTGGTCAGATCTGACCAGAAAGACTGCTAACGGTTATAGAGGAAAGTTTTGAAGTGAGGGTAGTAGTCGGTGGCTGGGTTGTGTAAAAAGCAGTGTGGCTGGGTTGACAAGGCCAAGGTTTACACACAAGTATATAGACCTTGTACGAGCAGTGGATCGTGCCAAGGCATCTGTTTTTTCATTGCCGACATGGCAGGGTCTCCAGTAAAATTTATTTATTTTCTGTTGTGTGGACAGATAAACGAACTGACCCTGCATTTATCGGACTATAAGGTTGATAGGGTGTACGGATTGTATGAGTGATATTGAGTTGTGTGAGTCAGTGAAAATGGTGAAGGATTTGGAGGGGATAGAAGACATGAGTTGCAGAGCGAAGATGATAATTAAAGTTCTGTTGTAAGAACTTTGCCTACTTGTTCTTGGAGACATTGTTGAAAGAGGGTATTATCGGAATAAGAGGCTGTTGGGGGAAACACAAAAAATAATTTCTCATGTAGCTGGGCTAAACAGAGTACTCAAAAGATTTGTCGAAGTGAAAATTGTAGGGCGGTGGGGATGGGAGAAGGAGGGAGTGGTGTGGAGTGAGACAGTACTGTGGGGGTGAGGGCAATAAGGTTGAAGAGTTGTAATAAGGGAGGAGGTAGAAAATAATGATTGTGAAGGAGGGGGTTGGAGGAAATTTGGAGTGAGGAAGGGGTTTATTTTGAAGGTTGAGTTATAACCTGGGTAAATGATCCGGGTTGTTAAACAGTACATGTCGAGGAGGGGGGCGTAGTAACAGTGGTCGGACTGGTGACTTAGCACAAGTGTAGCCATCTATGGGTAAAAACAATTAAACAAGTAAACTCACAATGGGCATGGCATGTACGTACATACCATGCCCATTGGCAATGGGTTAATTACTGGCCATGGTAAGCCTGAAATTTGTGGGGAAAATAAAAGGTCCACCCCTCTGGGTCCTATTGAGGGGTAAGGGCTAAACAATTAACCAAGGGAATACCGTGCCCATGGCTCCCTGAGGTTGTTCATGACTGGCACAAAGTCAGCCATTCATCCTTTCAACACAGCTCTCGCACCTTAGGAATTGGACAGGGGAAGGGTCAGGGAAGATAAGGGAAGGGTTGGGGAAGAAGAAGAGAATGCAAAAATTAGTTGAGGCATGGTCTCGGTCTCCTAAGCCCCCCCCCCCCGACAACAACAAGCAAGGGATGGGGGGTAGGTTGTAGGGTTAAATGCTAAACAGAAGTCTTGGACATGTTAGCTTTGAGTAAGATTTCTAGGTTCAAATAATAATGAAACAAAAAAATATAGGTTATGTAAATGTGGATCCAAGTGTATGATAAGAAACTCCAATTAATGCTGAAAATTCTCAACATACACATGGAATAGGTAGTAATCAATAGCATTTTAACATGATCTGCTGTTCAACTGTTAAAAAAACTGTTTTGCCATAATTGTACGTGAAAAATATAGTGTACTTCTTGAAACATTCTATAACTTTCATACTGTCATTATTCTATTCAGTTCTGATTTATATAAGTTGTGAACAATATTTCAGTCTTGGGAAATGAAAACCATAACCAGCTATATATTATCTTTATATGAAAACTAACAGGATATATACAATAGGGAAGGCAACATACTAGATGTAGAATAAAGAAAATAGTTTAGTTGTACTGTCATACAAACTGTTTTGCCATTAAAACCAAGGAAAATGTATAAATTATGATAAATCACACAATATATAAAACATGTTTTACATATTAAACTGGTCTCAAAACCTCATTGGAAACTAACCAAAACTATATAAAAGAAAATTGTCAATATACTGTAGACCTTCACTAGGAAAACTAAATCTTTATGCTTACAACTGATCATTAATGCATTGCAAACAATGTTATAAGATACACTGCTGCCTAGACCTATGGCTGCCTAAAAAGCTTATAAATCTGGCTCATAATTTGGAGGAAAATGCCATAAGTAGGGCTGGCTCTAGCCATTTTGGTGGCTAAGGCAAGATTGATATCCCTAAACCAACACAGGCACAATCCACCATATAATGAAAAAAAGATATAAAGTTGATAATGGGAGTGACCTCATTACAGCAAATGTGGAAGGGTGCCCAGTGGTGAATTTTAGTACTTAACTATATTTCCTTTTTTTTCTTTAAGGGCATCCACTTCCAGATGATGGCACCCTAGCCAACCACCTATATGGCCAAAGCCAAATGCCTGGGCCTGGCCATAAGCATGATGCAAATGTGCTTAATGGGTGTTAGAATGCAATATAAATTTGGTGGGTTACATCTCCTCCTCTGTATGTTATATCAATGGCTCATTAATTGACTGTACATTGAATTAACTTTATATATATAAATATATATATATATATATATATATATATATATATATATATATATATATATATATATACATACATACACACACACACACACACACACACACACACACACACACACACACACACACACACAGACACACACACACACACACACACACACACACACACACACACACACACACACACACACACACACACACACACACACACACACACACACACACACACACACTCGTGTGTGTGTGTGTGTGTGTGTGTGTGTGTGTGTGTGTGTGTGTGTGTGTGTGTGTGTCTGTGTGTGTGTGTGTGTGTGTGTCTGTGTGTGTGTGTGTGTCTGTGTGTGTGTGTGTGTGTCTGTGTGTGTGTGTGTGTCTGTGTGTGTTGTGTGTGTGTGTGTGTGTGTGTGTGTGTGTGTGTGTGTGTGTGTGTGTGTGTGTGTGTGTGTGTGTGTGTGTGTGTGTGTGTGTGTGTGTGTGTGTGTGTGTGTA